ATCTCGGCCACCTTACTGCTAATCAGCCAGTTCCTGCTRAATTTCGMTCTCACTWTCTTTCGCTGCTCTTCRTCYYCGGGCCAWTTCAGYTTGATTYTCCTCCATCTGCACAATATCTCTGMTTGGATRATCGRCTTGGACTCTTTCCATACCTTGTCCCTTGGATTTGATAGTCCTTCAATTGATCTGCTGCATCTCTCCTTCCAGATCACCCATAGGGTCACCTTCCTGATGAGTTCAACCCAGTTCGATTCCGCCCTCCGAGTCATCGTGGGGATGTTTGTGAGGAGGAGTAATTGGATGGGTTGTTCAGGGAAAGGGGAAGAGAAGAGGGAGTCCCGCAGGGAAGAGGCTCTCGCCCAGTAGTCTGTCGCTTCCACACAGTGCACCAGGTAGTGAACTATGTCTTCTACCGCTCTTGCCGAGCAGACTGTATATATCTCCGAGCTATCCGGATTAGTAGCTTTACGCCTAGTGTGCAGCCATTGGTTCACTGGTAAGGCAGCGTACGCTATCAACCACTGCAGACTTCTGATCTTTTTTTGAATACGACTAGTGATGTTGCCTTGATCTACCCCCTTACCTTTGATTTAGTCCCAATCTGTAAAGAGCAGGGATTCCCCTTGCAGTTTCGCTATTTTTCCGTCCCCTAACCAAAGTTTTACAAAGTTCTGTCTTTTCTGTTCCCTCTTGTCAGGTTGCAGTATTCTCTGTAGTACCTTTTGTTCCCTGTGCCATCTAGCCCTTATTTCAGTTTGGATAATGTTTTTAACCTCTACCCTCTTTTCTTCCGTGCTCAGCGTCTGTCCTTCTAAGGTCCCCTTGCATCTTGCCTTCCAGATTACCCAAAGTGTAGCTCTTCTCCACAGCTCAGGTAATACTTGAGAATCTTCATTAATATTCTCGTTTTCTATTCTTCCTGACAACAAGTATAGCCAACTGGTCGGAAAATCCTTTCCTGTTAATTTGGTCCATAGCTCTTTTGTTTTCCATAAATCCTGCGCTCTACGACAAGTGATTAGGCAGTGAACCACCGATTCTTCTGCGCTTTCGTTGCACACCTTACACTCGGCCGCTTGCGAGAGGGGGTCCTCCTGTTTTCTTCTTTTAGCCAGCCAAAGATTGACTGGCAACGCCCAATAGATTAAGAGCCATTGTAGCCCCCTGATTCTGGCCGGCTTTATGCTCATGTACTGCTTCCACGGGATGTTCGTTTCCCAGCCTGCACTTTCGCCCAGATTTTTCTTCCATCTTTCTGATATCACTGAGAGCGGGTTCTTTGTGTGGTTGCCTAATCTATAGGCCATTTTGACCTCATAGTTGTAAATTGGCATGAGCTTTTTGGCTCCTCCCGCTGGGTTGGGCACCATCCACCCCCATTCCGCCGGGTCTACCTCTAGATCCTGGATGTCTAGCTCCGGTCTAAAAAGTCTCACCCTGTTTGTCTCCGATTGAATTAGAAGGTTAGTTCTTGGACCCTTCCCCATCCTGCAAGCTCTTATTTTCCTAAGGGAACCAATGTCTTTGACCTCCCTTGAGTTGATGATCATTCCCAATTCCACCCATGATTTATGCAATTCCTTTAGTTCAAATGCGACAAATTCAGCCTTCCCCTCCTCCGCGTTAAGAACCTTCGTCATTCTAAACGCCACGTTGGGAACTTCTTGATCCCTTGCTGTAGCCCAATCCCCCTCTTCCCATTTGATTTTTCCTCTAAGTAGAACTACCCAGCTTAGTGGTATGCTCTAAAGGATGTCCTCCAAATGTCTCTTTAAGTTATGAACCCCTTCGAGTTTAGATCTGAGTTCTTGCGTGGTTACCCACCTGCTCTCCCCTATGTTCCACAGATGGGCTATTTTCCACACCCCCTTACCGATCCATCTCTTCCAATGTTTTCCCTTGGCATTTAATTGCCAGGGCTTGTCCTTATGGTCCTTCAAACTCGGGTTTTCGAATAATGGCTGTCTCAAGACCTCCTCCTTGGTTTTCGGTGTTCTGATTTTTTGCGGAAAGCATGTTCTCCAGTGTTTGATTAGCGTTGACCAGTGTTCGCTTGGTGGATCTTTGTCCTCCATCTCTCTTCCCCCCTCTCCCCTCCTTGGGTACCAAGTTGTGTTTAAAATCCAATGGTATCCCTCTATGGTAGGGTCAACTTGAAACGGTACTAAATTTCGGATTTGGTGTAAGGCCATTTGGTCCCATGGCAATTCCTTATTAAAAAGTAGTTTAGTGATCCACTTGTGCTGAAGTGCCTGGAATTGCGCTACCGGATTTAAAACGCCCAGTCCCCCCTGTTGTTTTGGACGGGTGATGTATTTCCACGCTACCTTGCTAATGTAGTGTTCTTTTTCCACTTTACCCGTCCATAGGTAAGCTCCTAATTTCTTTTTGAGATTTGTGAAAAAGCTTGCTGGCGGGTTCCACAACGAAGCAATGTACCATCCCATTGAGAGGATTGAGGTATTGATTACTAACACTCTTCCCATTAGGGAAACATAAGTTTCCTGCCACCCAGCTAGTTTGCTCATCATCCTGATTAGCAGACTAGCCCCCGACTCATTGTTCGTCCCTTCTATTGAAACTTGAATGCCCAGAAAACGTAACGGTTGTTTGGGGTCCAACCAGGTGAGCCCTTGTGTGTCTGCCGTTTGCTGGGGGGGAATAGACTGAGCTGACCACCATCCTATCGTTTTCCTCCAGTTTATCTTCATTTCTGATGCGAGTTGAAATGCCTGCATGGCCTTGGTTAGAGCTAAAAAGGACGAGTCAAAGGCTCTAATTAGAACCGTCAAGTCATCGGCGAAAAGAATGGTTGTCGGGATGTGTACTTGTTTCTCTCCATACTGCACTACCAATCTTTCAATAGATGGATCCTTACGCAGGAATGCTGCTATTGCCTCCATTACGAAGAGAAAAATAGGTGCTGCTAACGGGTCGCCTTGCCTTACCGAACTAGTCATCCTATACCTCTCAGATAGGTGTCCATTGACCTGCACCATACCTCGGGCATCCCCGTAGAGCACGCTTATCCATCTCCTGAAATTTGGCCCAACTCCCATTTTTTCCATACTTTGCTGTAAGAATTCCCAGTTCACTTGATCGTACGCTTTTTCAAAATCGAAAAAAAGAATGGCCGCTTGCAACTTTTTGTCCCTGACGATCTTTGTGGCCTCGTTCAAAGTCACTACATTATCCAGGATGTATCTTCCGGGTATAAACCCAGTTTGATCTATGTGGAAGCATTTGTCCGTAATGTTTCTTATCCGGTTGGCAAGAGCCTTGGCTAAAATTTTGTAGATTGCCGGCAATAACGTTATGGGTCTATAGTTTCGTATATCTTCCCTGTCCCCTTTCTTGTATAACAGCGTAACCACCCCCGTACTGCATTCCTCCCCTATCGATCCCTTGGTGAATGCCTCTTTGAAGAAATTGGTTACTGTTTCTCCACCGAGATGCCAATTGCTTTGCCAGAATTCTTTCGGTAGGCCATCCTTGCCTGGTGTTTTGTTTGGCTGCATACTCACTAAAGCTTCGTACATCTCCTCCTTGGTGATTTCCTTGCCCAGCAAAGCCGTCGCCATTGGGCTGAGGCTTTGGTCTAGGTGCTTTAGGAATTTTTCCCTGGCTCTCTGTACGTTACCTGGGTTCTCCAAAAAGGTTTTGGATGTATAAAGATTCTGATAGAAGTCTGAAGCTACCTTTAGAATACCTTCCTGTGTTTGTTTGTGTAGCGCCTAGTGGGTCCTTCAAAGCTAATATTCCACTATTTCTGTGATTTGCTTTGATCCTTTGGAAGAAAAATTTTGTCATATTCTCGTTGCTTTCCCAATCTCTAACTCTAGCTCTTATTGCCATGCCTTGCCTCCTCCAGTCTGCCCATTGCTTAAGCTCTGATCTTGCTTCTTCGAGCAATTGTTCATAAAGACTCTCTCCTGGGTTGGCTATTAGATTGAACTTTGCTATTTCTACCATTGCCTCTAAACTTTGTTGTCTTGCTTTTCTTCTCCCTGCTTCTCTTCTTGAGAACCCATTCGCCCACCGACTCATATCCTGAACCGCAACTTGGAACTCTCCGAGAACCTTTCTCCCTTCTATGTTCGACTTGATTGATTCCCATTTGGCTTTGAATTCCTGCTTAAAGGAGTCCAAATTAAGAAGGGATATGTTTAGTTTGAAGAGCTCCTTCCCGGTGCGTTGTCTAGTGAAAAGGTGAGGTTGAGATCTATGGGGTTATGGTCATAGCCATCATAGTGGGGTAATCTACCTATTCCACAGTTTAGTACTGCGCCCTCCAGTGTGTCCGATATGAGAAAGAAGTCTATTCTAGAGAAAGTGGTTCTGCCTAGACTGTTTTTCCTGATGCATGTGAAATCCTTTTTCTGAGGGTTGCGGACTCTGTATGGGTCTATAAGGTTCTTTTCTGTTGTCAATTGGGCTAGTGTTATCCCTGCTGCATCTAGGGAGTTGACTTCCGCCCACGAGATTCTGTCTATTTGTGGGTCCTGGACCGTGTTCCAGTCCCCTACTAGTATGGTATGAGATTGCGCTAGAGTTGACTCCCCTATTTTTGTGAAGAAGTCTTCTCTCTCTGCTGCTGCATTTGGGGCATATATGTTTACTAAGGTGACGTCTTCTCCTCTGACACTGAGTTCTATTCTTGACCACCTACCCTCTGTTAGGTCTGCTGACGTAGATTTGATTTGCAGATATTTCGCCTCTAATACGTTCTTGTGTACTAGCGTGATTACTCCCGCTGATGCAGGTTGTGGACTGTAAGCTGTAACCTCTATAGCGCAGTTCCTTAGTCTATTCATGATTTCCTTCTTTACCGCTAAATGGGGTGATGTATTGGTTAAGTGTGTCTCCTGCAGGCATAGCACGTCCGGGGGATTTGGTCCATTCCATCCTGTCGTGTTGAGGAGGCAATGCCACTTTTCCTGATTTGTTAGGATTGTCGCTAGTCCCCTCACATTCCAGGATTGGATCCATAGCTCCCCCCTGGAAGTTACCATGATTTATCGTTTCTTAGTTTTTCTGGTACTGCCTGCGATTTACTCTCTAGGAGCTGGAGCTGATTTTCGGCTCTCCCTCGAATGGTGACAGCAACGTTGGAAGCTCCTCCGCCTCCTGTGCCATCACCTGCGAGTCCAGAAGTGTTGCTAAGGCTACCGCATTTTGAGTCATCATAGCGTCACTTCCCAGAGCCGTAACGGTTACCTCTGTCAGCCACCACCAAGGCTTCCACCTTAATCCATTTTGCAGTTCCGCTTTGTGGTCCAGACAGATCAGTAGTGGCCGTGCGTCGAACTGTGTTTGTTCCTTCCCCTCCTCCCTTACCTGTGCCTCCCCTAGGACTCCCCCCCCTTCCTTTGGCTGCTCTCCTGCTAGGCCCATGAACACAGCTTCTCCCCCCTTGCTGATCTTTTTCAGCAGATCCTCCCTTTTCTGCCCCCGCTGCCATCTAGGGATAGACAGATCTTCGTGAACTGCCACCTTCCACTGTTTGGCTAGAGGGTCTCTCCGGATGGGAATTACTGCACGAGAATGCAGAAGGGTACTTGCTTCCATCCTGGCCCTTTCCCAAAGCTTGTCCTGATCACTGCACTGGATATCCCGGACCGTCACTGTGCGCAAGGACATTTCCCTGTTTAGGTCGACCAGGTGTGCATTCTGCGCTTCTAGGGCCCGTAACTGAATGCCAAGGTGAGCGATAGATGACAGAAACTTGTCTGCCCCCTCCTGATCCTTCCCCTTTCCCTGTTCTTCGAGGATAGGGGTTGGCTTATACTTCTGCAGCCTCCTCCCCTTGAGCTTTTTGTTCTTCTTTTCCTCTCCCTCCTCATCTCCCTCTCCCACCTCCATTTCCTGGTCTTCTTTGGAAGCGCAGTATTTTTCTGCAAAATAAGTTGCCAAGTCCTCTTCCTTTTCCAACGGCGCAAATGGGTTTTCGGTCAGCGGGATGTGCATAGTTGGGTTGGCTATTTCTGCCTTTGTTTTGTTCCTCTTCTCTTCTCTATGCAGAATTAGCTGCAGCTCGTAGTTGTCATCCCTTTCTTTTTCAAAAAAGTTAATGTAATCCCGCAGTTCTCTCTCCTGCAGTCCTTCCCAAGGGTAGCCCTCCTCTCTGTCCTGCTCCTGTTCTTCCTCTACCGATTCCCTGTCTGTTTGCCCTTCGGTGTGCTTCCTCTTGTCCCCAACCACCGGGCTTGGCAGCTCTTCGTTTTCCCCTGTTTCTGGCTCTGCTCCTCCTTCCCCCATAGATTCATCAGTCCCTTTTGCCTCCTTCTCCTTCCCCTGTACGGAAGATCCCTGTCCCTTCCGCCTCCTCCGCACGTAGTTTTTTTGCACTTGGTTCTCCTCTCTTCCACTTTCCTCCCCCTGGTACCTCTTCACTGCTTCCACCCATTCCCTTTCTGTGTTCTCCTGCACTGATTGGAGATCGGCGCAGAGGTCCCTCTCCCAGATTTCGTGTTTCAATGCCTAAATGTTTATTACTGGGTCCCTTGTGAAATTTCTGGGAGCTTTCTTTCCCGTCATCAAAGTTTGCCATCTGCTCTCGAACGGAGGGTAGACATCCGGCTTCGGTGTCGGCTCACCCTGAATGGTCCAGACCCAGTCTGGAGTATCCAGGTTGTCGTTAAAGACCCAGCCTGCATACTGTGCCTCTGGTATGTACCAGTAACCCCTTTTGTCGGCTACTTCCTGCAGGCTTGYCGTTTTCAGCACTTTCGGTTTCACGCTYTCTTTGGATTTTGGGCAGCTTGTGTCCGTCCCCAGATGCCCCCTTTGCCTRCATTTGRAGCATAGGGGGTTGGTTTTGCTGGAGACCGTTATCCTGATGACCTTGTTTTCTTGCGAGAAAAACCATTCATCAGGAATGAATGGTAATGTRYTGTCTCCTGYTTCCAGTACTACCGTWATCTGRTTGTGYTGTGGAGTGAGGAAATCGGGTGTTGAAACGATCCAGTGGGCTTCTTTAAAGTGACCAAACTCCATTCTCACCCTCTCCTTTATGCAGCCATGCATTCCCTCAGGTACGTTATCGAACTGGATCCAAAAGTGTTTTTTAATTAGATCATGTCTGTACCTGAAAGGGGTTTGTTGAAAATTTGCTGCTTGTTTCCACGGGTGCACTGAGACCACTGAGGAGTTGCACGTGAAGCATTTATTTTTCAAAAAAGAAGTGAGTGCTTCCTCCATACACAACACCATGATCACGTTTATTGATCTTGGGTGGAATGATACTCTCGGTTCTTGTCCTTGGATTGCTTCCAAACTCTTCAACTTTTCCCAAATCCACTTCAGTTTGGATTGTCTATCCAATTCCTGACTTTTTTTGGCAAAAGTGAACAGAACAGCATGTTTTTGGTGTAGCTCAACTTGCTTGGCTGTTAGTTCTTTTGGACATTCGTAAACTACCACCTCTTCCTTGTTGTTCCTTCCATGGTCGATGCTTTTGGTGGTTTTCACTAGTGGGGTCCTGGTCTGTTCTGCCAGCCAGTTTTGTGTCTCAATTCCCATCCCCTCCATTGCTGACTTGGGCTGGCTGCCCTTCGGTTTCCTCCCTCGCCCTTCGTCTCGACTACCACTACCCACCTGCTCCCGCCTCTTGGTACTACCCCTGCCTTCAATCCCGTTCACACTCCCGTGTAGTCTGAACCTCCCCTCGCTCCTTTTCGAATAAGAATGTGTGGAAGGAGATTCTGAGTAGGGGCAGGGCTCGACCTTGTGTCAGGTCTCAAAATCTGAGTGAAAGCTGAGATCTGGGCACAAAACTAGAGCGGGGTTAGAATTGGGGGTGGGGATAGGGCCAGGCTTGGGTATATAGTCGGAATCGAGGGACGCTTCCGCAGGGGGGATAGGGTCGGGATCGAGGCTAGAAACAGGTTCGGATGTTGCGTCGAAAAGAGAGCTAAAGACAAGATCGTGGGAAGATTCCGGATTGGGGATAGGAACGGAATCGAGGATAGGAACGGGATCGGGGATAGACTCGGAATCGGTGATAGGATCGGGATCTGAGATTGGACCTGGATCGGGGATTGGATCTGGATCGGGGATAGGAAGGGGATCGGGGGTAGGAACGGGATCGGGTATAGGATCGGGATCGGGGATTGACTCGGAGTCGGGGGTAGGATTGGGATCGGGGATTGGATCTGGATCGGGATCGGGGATTGGATCGGGATCAGGGATAGGATCGGGATCGGGGATTGGATCTGGGTCGGGGTTAGGGTCGGGATCGGGGGTAGAATCGGGTTGGGGATTGGAGTCTGGTTCGAGGTCGGCGATGGGAGCGGGTGGAGTCGACGGGATCGGGGGTAGGAACGGGATCGGGTATAGGATCGGGGTTAGGAACGGGATCGGGTATAGGATCGGGATCGGGGTTAGGAACGGGATCGGGTATAGGATTGGGATCGGGGACTGACTCGGAGTCGGGGATAGGATCGGGATCGGGGATTGGATCTGGATCGGGATCGGGGATTGGATCGGGATCGGGGATAGGATCGGGATCGGGGATTGGATCTAGGTCGGGGGTAAGGGGGGTAAGGTCGGGATCGGGGGTAGAATCAGGTTGGGGATTGGAGTCTGGTTCGAGGTCGGCTACGGGAGCAGGTGGAGTCGACGGGATCGGGGGTGGTGACGAACTCGAGGGTGGTGACGAATTCGGGGGTGGTGACGGCGGGACAGGAAGGCTGCTTGCTTCGTGGGAGGATTCTGGATCGGGGATAGGATCGGGGTCGGGGATTGGATCGGGATCGGGAATTGGAACGGGCTCGGGGATTGGAACGGGGTCGGGGATAGGGTCGGGATCGGGGGTGGAACCGGGCTGGGGATTGGAGTCTGGTTCAAGGTTGGCGACGGGAACGAGCGGAGTCGACGGGATCGGGGGTGGTGACGGACTCTGAGGTGGTGACGGTGGGACAGGGTCGACGGGATCAGGCAGCGCACCGCTGCCGGAGTCTTCTACTTTGGCTTGGTGGTGAGATTACTCGGGCCGATCGGGGAGTGGGCGGGTGTGGGACGAACAACGAGGAGAAGATAATGGTTTGTGCTAAAAATTTAGAGCGAGGGTGGGATAGAGATGGTCGGAGCAGAAACGGGATGGGAATGAGGTTGAGATAGGGCTGGGGAGCCAGCTGAAGTAAGGGAGTAGGATGAGGGAGTTAGTAGATTGTTTATGTGAACGCTCTCACTCTGGTGGAACGGTCTTCGTCTTCGTAGGTCTTGAGGAAGCGATGATGGCTGAGGGACTCTTCTTTGGCAATGAGGCTGTTACCGTCAGGGATGGCCTGGGTCTAATACACTCTTCCCTCCTCCGATTTGCCGCGTCATATTCGGGCCAGGGACGCTTCTTCGAACCTTCGAGAAGAAATGGAGACAGTCGTCGTGTCTTCTTCAATGCTGTTGGTGCGCGGGTGCTGATACACCTCCGAGGGATGACGTTCTCACTCTGGCACCCACTCTCCCTTTCTCTCTCTCTTCCTCACACTCTCTCTCTCTCTCTCTCCCTCTCTCTCTCCCTCTCCTTTTCTCTCTCTCCCCCTCTCTCGCTTTCTCCCTCTCTCTCTCTTTCTCTCTCTCGATCCCCCCCTCAGTCCCCTACTCTCCCTCTCTCTCCCTCCCTCTCTTCCTCTCTCCCCTTTTCTCCCCTCCTCGGATGCGTCTTTGGGACGTGACGCGCCTCAGCCCGCCATCGTGTACTTTGACTGACCTTGTAAGGTGCGGGCCGGCAGCACTCAGCACGGTGATGGCCTCTTGATAGTCTTCTTCGTACGTGTTCACTCTATTCTGCGCGGCGATGTGGATGTTCGCCAGCGTTGGTTGGGAGGTGCGGACGAGACACGCGCGTCGTAGCGATGGCCTCCTTCGTTTTGAATTCAAAACGAGGTGTGGCGCCGTCGCCGCGGGCGCTGCGGTCTTGCGCTAACCGAAGGCACGAGCGCAAACCAGCTTAGCTGTCTCTTGTCTCCAGGGGGGGGGGGGAAACCTGACAATAGATCGGTGCACGTACCGAATTGTTCACAGCGCGCCAGAAAACGAGAGAGTGCGGGCTCAGCGTCCCTTGGATTACCTGGGTGAAGGGTTGAGAGAACCATGGGCATAAAACCATCAAAGAAAACCACCGTGCTGGAAACCGGGTCCAGCATTCCATGAGTCATAGTCCGCCACTTTCCAAGCAATGGACGGGATGAACGATCCCTCAGCATCTCCCCCATCACGTTATTACGGAAACCAAGCTAAACAGCAAATGTAAGAGCCAGAATCAAATGTCTGGATTACGCTCCCTTACTGCCAGTGACATATACAGCCCTCCATTGACCTTCTATACCTCCCTTCCTCCTTGATATCACATCTGGTTATGGCGGCTCGTCCAAGCCTAGGTCAGTTATGCAAAGGACAATGGAAACTTACATGCCTCCATACGCTTCGGCAGCCAAGCCTACCCTACCAAATGAAGTTCCCAAGCCACCCATACCCTCTTCAGGGGCCTTCTAGTTGCAGCACCAACCAAGAGGATGAAGTTGCAGTCCTCCATAGCCAAGGCAAAGTCTTCTCCTTCACTCCCCTCCTCCTTCCTCCTCCTTCCTCCTCCTTTTTCTCCTTTTTCTCCTTTTGTTCCACCTCCATAGCCTTGCGGACAACTCTACTGCCTGCCGCCAGGCTGCCTTGCCCTTCTCCTACCTCACCCTAGCTTAGCATACCTAGGGTGGGCAGCAGCTCTCCACCTATGCCGCTGCTTGGCGCTCACCCGCCAAAACTACCTGACTACGGTAGCAGCCTATTTGCCATCAAGGGAGGAAAAGAGGAGAAGCAACTCACCGCTCCGAAAAATGTACTTTGGCTCCTGCTTCAATGCCCAGGGACTTCCCAGCCTACCCGGCCTTTACGCCCTGCCGGTTCCTGCACTTTTGACGGGAAATCGTTACAGGCTACCTGCAGGTCCTCGACCTGGCTCTTATCGGACTACATTCACGCCGGTACCTTCTGGAGGTCTCCTCCAGGCTACTAGACCTCAGGGAAAATACCTTGGCCTACCGAAAGTCCTGCCTTTGGTCCTTTTCTGCCTACCTACCAAGTACTACTTGATTTTGGCCACTCTCGCCAACAACTACCCCTAGCCAACTGTAGCCTAATAGCATAATAGCCTGTACCCGCTGGACAGGCCACCAACACGGCAACCAGGGTTCGAACCAGGCCCGAGAGGGCCAAACCAACACACAGCCCATCATACCTAGTCACACACACACACACACCCCAACACACACACACACACACACATTCGAGTACTCAGACAGACAGACAGATGCAGGAAACACAGATATCAGCAACCACCACACCAGGAACAAATTCGGACAGCAGGAATCCCAGCAAACACGGAACAACTGCAAAAACTCAGAAAAACTCAGAATTCACAGTCTGCAACTTTCTGGGTTACTACAAAAAACAAAAGGGAACTGACTATCTCATACGTAGATACTGTCTCAATTCAGAGCAGCCAACCCAACGAATGTCATTACCCACGGGGAGAAGAGAGGAGAAAGAGAAGAGGAGAAGAAGCTGATGAAAGAAGGCAATTACTTTGAGATCAACAGCTGTGACCAGTCGGATGTCAGCAGGCACACGATCTCCATCACATAATAGAACAAGGTCTCCAGGAACAAGCTCAGCTGCATCAACCACAAGTCGTTGAGCTTCTCTTGTGACAACACTCTTCGCAGGCATAAGATTCTTAAACCCTGAACAACAGTGGCAGAAGCAGCACCAGAAGACGAAGACGAAGACGAAGACGAAGACGAAGACGAAGACGAAGACGAAGACGAAGACGGAGACGGAGACGAAGACAAAGAGGAAGAAGACGAAGACGAAGACGAAGACGAAGACGAAGACGAAGACAAAGACAAAGAAGAAGACGAAGAGGAAGACGAAGAGGAAGACGAAGAGGAAGACGACGAGGAAGAAGAACAGACGAAGAAGAAGAAGAAGAAGAAGAAGAAGAAGAAGAAGAAGAAGAAGAAGAAGAAGAAGAAGAAGAAGAAGAAGCCGAGGAAGAAGACGAGGAAGAAGACAAAGAAGAAGACAAAGAAGAAGACAAAGAAGAAGATAACGAGGAAGAGGAAGAGGAAGAGGAAGAGGAAGACGAAGACGAAGACGAAGACGAAGACAAAGACAAAGACGAAGATGGAGACAGAGACGGAGACGGAGACGAAGAGGAAGACGAAGAGGAAGAGGAAGACGAAGAAACAAAGGCAAAGAAGAAGAAGAAGAAGAAGAAGAAGAAGAAGAAGAAGAAGAAGAAGCGAAGGCAGGAGAGTAAGAAGAAGGGGGAAATAGAATAAATAGTAAATACAGTAAAGCACATTAAATGAAGTTGCCCTTAAGAATATCCTGACCCTTGCAACCTGAGCAGTACCATGAAAACAACACTTAATTAGCATGGCTCCTGTGCAACATCAATGCTGACGGGAACTTGATTTGCAATGGGAATCCACACTTCATTCATTTCCCAACGAACAATGCCTGTGTTTCACATTTGAGAGTCCGACAGCAGGGTCAAACTCTTTATTCCTCGCTTGCGCCCATCGCTTGCTTGAGTCCCTGGCCTGCAACCCTGGATTGCTTCCATTCCCTCTGCCCCTAGATTGCTTCCATCCCTGACTTCCATCCCTGGTTTCCCTCCCTGGATTCTGTGCATGGTTTCCATCCCGGATTGCTTCCATCCCTGACTTCCTTCCCTGGCTTCATCCCTGGTTTCCGTCCCCAGATCGCTTCCGTTCCCGGCTACCTTTCCCGGTTGTCGTACCTGGATTGTTTCTACCCCTGGCTTCTGTCCCTGGATTGTTTCCGTCTCTGCTTCCATCCCTGGCTTCTGTCCCTGCCTTTC